CCCCCCCCCCCCCCCCTTCCCGCTGTCAGTATCTGTCTATTTCCCTTCCCTTGAACAACTCCCCCTCCTCCCTTCCTCTCCCTGTGGTGTATACCGCCCCGGGCAAGCAGTTGTCAGTTATAAACATTCACGGCGAGGATTATTGAGAGTCCTGTTCTGACCGACTGTACAAACTTTATGACAACAATTGTTGTCCTCCCGAGACTAATTTCATTTGCACATACTACGATTTTCTGGAAAATCAATTCACACATCAGCAGCCAACAGAGGCATCAGAAGCATCGGTGATGCGACCCCATCTCCTCCTCCTCCTCCTCCCTCTCCCTCCTCAAGTTCCCACTGCTTTCGAGGCTGGAAACACATCAGCGTGTTTAGGCCAAGAACGGAGCAGACAATCATTCCAAGGCTCGGTCTGGGACCACAAGCAGTTGAGAATTATGAGCTTCTTCTCAGTTAAGAAATAAAAAGAGGGGGAACTTGCCAAATCTGAGGCAGAAACATTCGCTGCAATAACAGAAGACAAACACACGCGAGAAAGCGGAGCACCATAAGAAACAACATTCTAGAAAGATTGAATTCTACCTGACTCAAGAAGGATCACCCGACACCGTATGCACCTTCTCTCAACTTTAAATTTCGACGTTCAAATCAATTCAAACAACTTCTCGTGTTAAAAAAACAAAACAAAAAAAAAAAACCATAGAAAATTCAAAACACTTACCAAACACTGGAAGCCTGACGAATATGCTCTGATAGCTTCTCCACTTCTTCATCCTTTCCATGATCTGTATATCCAGCGACCTGGTGAAAGACGAAAGCCGGACAAGCAAGCACCTATACATGCAGCAATTCTATGGAACGTACAAAAAGAACCTAACCTTGCGACCACCACCTATTTGCATGTGATTAGCAGCAGCTATGTTAACAAACGCACTAACCAGCTCGCTAACAAACTAACCATCTGAGGGGAAAAAAAAAAAAAAAAACCTAAACATCCAACTTCCCAGTTAACTAGCAACAGGCAACAATTACCCTGGTAGAGAAAAAAACTCTTGTAACTGGCATGCCAAGCTGCCTACGCATCACCCTGGATCTCGGCGACCATGACCGTGTGAGCAGGATGGCAGTACGCTGAAGACCACAGACTTTAGTTCAAATCAGTGCCCTACCCTCTTGTCCTGCACAGAAGCATAATTATATCTGTAATGGTCTGTATTGAGGCCAAATTTATGGTCAAATACAGATATCAGCCACCAGGAGCTCAACAGCGTCCTCCACATCCCTCGAAGCCTTGCGACTTCCCAAGACAGAACTTTTTGACCCCAAGTTCTATTCCGGGCAGCAGCCCAATCACAAGAATTTCAACAACATTCCTTGAAGCTTTGCACATTCCCAAATCCGCTAAGGCTGTGGCTTTGCCAAGTTCTTTTCTTTTCTTGCCTTTTTGTAATTTGGACCATTTCTCGATTGATTTGCGTCGTCCTTGCACAGGGGCCTTGCCTTTTCAGCACATACATACATACATAAGGACCCCAAGTTCTATTCAGCAGCTTTGCCATTCCCAAGCAACAGGTCGGTACCTCCTTGACTGTACATTGACGACGAACTTGCTATGAACACAGTGCTCAGAGTACAAACTCAGCCACTGGGCCATAGTTCTTGCGTCTTGGCGATCTTAATCGCAGTCACTGGCCTCGGACCGCTGAACCCTGGTCCACTGAGGGTGTACGCTGATGATGACAAATTTCCGGGCAAAAGTTCCCGTAATCACATTGTTATACTCTGCGCTCCTTGATTCGTCGGGTTCGATCCGTGTGCTCCTCAACAGCAAGTACCTCAGACAGCGTCCATGACGACAACAGCACACGTGGGCACTTGCAAAAAAACAAAGTTGGCGACCGAGATCGATGGCCACACATGCGTAGAAACAAGGGCGAGCTTAGGAATATGCAAGTTAATGCAACACATTCAGCGACTCCAACGGCAGGGGGAAGGGGGGAAAAAAAGTCCCGAAGAGCCAACCTCGGCAGCGCCAGGTTGCTGCACATTCAAATGATGTCAAGCTCGAAGTGTGCGCTTCCCGACGGCCAGGGCCAGGTCCGTATCAATGTTAAGCGAGATGTCCAGAGCTTTGACTGAGTGTGTCAGAGCTCCACTGGAGATAAAAGTGACCCCAGTTGCACCGATGTCTGTCACAGTCTCCAAAGTCACATTTCCCGAAGCCTGCAGAACATGCATATCAAGTCATAAGAGAGATTTTCATAACAGAAGTAGATGACCCGCTGCCGCTTCACAAAGCAAAATAGAGAGGATGAGGGGGTGGAAATGCAATGAATGTATTTTCCACAACTGAAAAAAAGAACTTAATAACAACTTAATAAGTTAATATAACCCTCTTTTCTGACAAAAAAACAAAGAACGAAAGAGAAAATAAATGCATATACCGTTTAGAGTCTTTAGACCCCAAACTGAGGAGAAAATAAATGTCTTCCCCAATGTTCTCTTCCTTCGGTCCCTTCTCCTCCTCGCCTCCTCAACCTCTGTACACTCCACAATGTCGATGGGTGGGTGGGCAGTCAGTCTGGTCAGTCGATCGGTCGGTTAGTCGGTGTACCTGTCTGTCTGACTGTTTGTCTGCCTGTGTAGCGGTACCTCAGCTGGTATGGCCTTTTTCAGTCCGGTCCTGTTCCAGTCCACTAGTCTATCCCTGAACCTGCTATCAGGTTGTTCCAAGGTTCCTCCAGGTATATTGTTTGTTCCATGGTTTGTTCATTCATTCAGGTTCGTTCAGTTCCATTCATTGATTTGGATTTAGCTGCTTATTGTGAGTCCTCCTGCGTCTGTCACCCAATCACATATGCGATGAGCCTCGCGGCCACATGCACGTCATCCTGGTGTTAGAGCGGGACAGTCCTGCATCCTGCTGCCTCCCACTCAACCCAACTCCTACCCCATTGGCCACATGGCTTCTCCCATCTCCCAGATGGTGCAAACAGGGCTACCTTGCATCACGTTGTCTCCCACCTCTCTAACAAAAAATACCTCTTTTCATCACCACTGAACCTAGGTCCGCTGAGCCAATCAGGCACATTCCACCCTACAGACCAGTCACCTGTCAGGTCGCATCAGGAGGACAGACGAAGTGCCTGCCGGATGGTGCAACAGCTGCATTCAGCGTCTCCACATCCTCCCACTGGTACACCAACCAACCGACCGACCGACCGGCTGTCTGCATCATTGTCCTCTTCATAAAGCTCGACTAGGCAGGGGTGGTATTGACATGGCAGCAGTGCAAGCCATCTGGCCAGCCATCTGGATCGACGCCTCTGGATGGTGCAAGCCATCGGGATTGACGCCTCCGCTGTCTGCATCATTGTCCTCTTCATGCAACTCGACTAGGCAGGCGTGGTACTAACATGGCAGCAGCACCTCATGGCATGCATCACCCCCCTCGATTCGGCACATGGCTCGTGGCCTCAATGACGTCTGTTCACCTGCACACGGATTTCGACAACCCATCTGCACACGGATTTCGACAACCCTTGTGACATGGCCTCAAGTACTGCTTACACCCTCTACTCCCCCCCACCAATCCTCCTCCTGCACGCTCTCCACTCCAACCCATGCTTGCACATCCCCCTCCCCCCTCCACTCCACCTCCCCACCCCATTGCGGCTACCTCGCCCGCTCGTATGCCCACTTGCTCGCAGTTGCCCCAACACCTCAACCCATCTCCTGCGCTCCTGGTTGCACCCCTTCACCTCCCTTCACCGCCTCACCACGTTCCATGTGGCTTCCCACATCGATTTCCCCACCCCAGCCATCACAATCTCACCCTCTCTCAATCTCGAACGGAGTGCTACCTCTTGTGCATCATTACTGATCCCTGCTTCACTGGTTCCCCACGGTGCAGCATCCACCACACCCCTCGGTTACCCTCGCGTGATTGCGCCTCTCTCCTCGTGCGGTTTGCCTTGCCCGATTTGTCTTTCCCCTTCCCGCAGTCATACCTTACATCTCCCTCCTGCTGCACTTCCACCCTCACCCCAACTTGCTTATCAGGTAAACCTTTCGCATCCGGTCTCGCCTTCCCTCCAATACTGGATTCTCCCTCCTAGCTGCTGCCCTCTTGCCTCCTGATGCGCCACCCGCCCGTCACGACCTCTCGATTGCGTCCCCCTCACAACACCCCTAGGCATGCTACACTACCATCAAGCTTCCTCCAGTGCACTGGCTCGACCCTGGGAACAGGCTTGGAATAATTGACTGTAAAAGAAGACGATGTTCAGCTTGACTCTAGATCGACTCTGTGAAATGATTTGAGATGCTTTGCTTCCAGTACGAATACCTCTGAGACCATGGCCTATCTGTTTGTGGCACCTGAGTGTTCATAGCGATGTTGTGTTTGATGCTTCGAGGCGGACTGTTCCTATCATTAGGAAGCAGAATTCATCGGGGGGTCCATGTTGACGTGATGTGATTTCTGGTCAGTGCTCTGAATGTTGAAGTGAAATCATTCAACCAAGCGCAAGTAAACAGCAAGAGTAAGTACCATCGAGCTTCCTCCAGTGCGCCACTCAGCCCAGGGAACAGACTTGGAAGAATCGGCAGTGAAATAAGACCCTATTTAGCTCCACTCTAGATTGACTCTGTGAAGTGACTTGAGAGGTGCAGTCGATTTGCTTCCAGAACGAATATGACCTGTGAGAGCATGGCCTATCTATTTGTGGCACCCAGCATGCAGAGCAATGTTGCTTTTGACCCCTTTGAGGTTGTTTGTTTACACTCTACTCTATTATTTCTCCCTCACTTCTACCCCTCTAACTACCTTCCCTGTCATGTAGAATTGTCCGTTATCTAATGACCTGCCCAAAATAAGTCTTTGGCAGGGCCATTTTTGCAGAAGTCACTAATTTTACAGGCCTGGGACATTCCAACCTGTCCGAGGCCCTCGGTCCCCGTCATGCGTCTATCCTTTGCTCACTGCCTTGTAACTTATAATTGACAGCCCGCTAACTCCTGGACTACCCGAAGACCCATACTTTTAGCCTGCACCCGCAGGAGCTCTGATCAACCTGAACCTACGACGCTCTAAGCCATCCTAGGTCATTATTTTCGATGCCTTATTTCTTACTTTCTTCCACTCTTGTTCCTATCTGTCCACATTAGACACCTCAGCCAAGACCCTCTTCTCTTGCTTTTGTTAACGTGACTCTGGCTCTTTGCCACTACAATTACAGCGTCACTCTGTTTTCAGATCGTCCTAGGGGCCTTGCCACTGTTCACCTGCCGCATTCCTTGAAGACCCCCTGCACCAGTAATCCCTTGCTTTCTATCCTCTGTCCTCTACTCGTCTCTTAGCTTGGTCAACCTAGATCGTGTGAGTTAGTCAGTGGAGGCGTGCTGTTGTCAATTTCTCAACTATGCACAAAGTCCCATTTTTCCTGCTCTCGGATGCATATCGTTGGTTCGAGAACCAAGGGTTTCGACAACGTAACAGACATCCGTTCATTCCTTGGCTTTGCCGGCTATTATCCATGCTTCATCGACTGCTATGCGAAGATTGCCACACCATTCACACCACTTCAGTCTCCTTTGGTGCCTTTCCAGTTCGACGACAAGGAGTGCGCTGCTTCTTTTTTTTTTTTTTTTTTTTTTTTTAAGGCTAATTCTTTAAGCCCAACCAATTCAATTACCTGTCAAATCTGGACAGGACAGCCTTTCAGGCCTTTTGTTTATTGTCATTATAGTATTACGGGGAACCCCGTAGCAGCCAAGTTCCAAATTCATTGGTCAATCAGCAGGCTCGCCATAGTTTGATCGAAGAGGAGCCTCAGAGACTACAAGCGAAGCAACTTTTGTTTTGCCATCCGTGCTCAAGCCTCCAACGAGGGAACAGGCGGGAGCTGCACCCACCAGCAGGTGCAATACCTGCTACAGCAGGTGGGCGATACCAGCCAGGGGTCAGCCAGTAGCATCAGGACGGAGCTTCTCGATGGGCCAGTCACTGTGCCTCCCCTCCGGTCCCCTCCCCCTATGAACATCAGCAGTCTCTGCTCAATGCCACTCGGGGGGACCAACGGCATATCTCTAGGTGGCGGTGCCAAGCTTGCCCAGGAAAGTACATGAGGCCAATGGGGATTGAACCCACACACTAAAGGAAGTAATGCTCGCAGCACCCGCATTGGTTACGATCACACCTTGCCTACACAAGTCATTACGGGCGCATCGGGTTATGGCATGTGCGACGGCCTTGAGCAGCATGACGGGAAGGATTGGCATCCGGTTGGCTACTTTAGCAAGAAAGTCCCTCCCATGCACTCCATCAAGGATACAAGGTAGAAGGAGCTGCTTCTCACCGTTCTCAAGCGGTGGCGGCCATTTCTCCTTGAGAGCCAGAACAAGTGGACGTCATCAACAGTACTATTGCATTTTGGATGTCCTTCATTGACCATTTCGACTTTACCATGAACCATGTTCCCAGCACTTCCAATCGGTCCAGGGATGCTTCACCTCAGGGACCCGATCTTTGCGCTATAACACATCATACGTCGGCATTGGACAAGAGCCTGCTGCAGCACTTTGTGCTAGGGTACATTCCGGACCCCATTTCAGGCCGCTATACCAGGCACTATCATTGGTGCTTCCAGGCAGGCAACTACCACATCGCTGGCGGATTCTTGCTTCTTCACACATGCAGTAAGGACTTACCTTGTGTCCCTCAAGATTCCCAACTCTGGATGTGGTTACTTGGCAGTACCACCACTCACACCTGGCAAGCCATTTTGAAGTCGAACACACAGTTGCTCGACTTCACCATTTCTATTGGTTCAGCTTGGCACCCGACATCACCGAGTAATTGCAAGTCGTGCAAAGGTTGCAAGTGATGCAAACCTAACAACGATTGCCCCTACGGCGACCATTGCCTATTTCTCATGAGCCCACCTTGTCTACTGCCATGGACATCACCAGCCTCTTCCCACGTGATTGCTTCAATCACAATGAGACATTCACACAGTGGTCAAGCATTTGAGCAAGCAAGCTCACTTCCTCCCTTTCAAAGTCCATGCTACAGCCCCCAAGCTCGCGCACACCTTGCACACTGGCTGGATTTGCAGCCATAGCCTTCAGCAGGATATTGTCAACCATCGCTTCTTATATTTGATTGCTCTCATGAAGTACTCCAGAACAAATATAGAACTGAGATCACTTGGCACCTGCAA